CCCCAAAACCCCAAAACCCCTGACTGAACAATTTTTAAGAAGAAAATAATTAGAATTTCATAAATAAATGAATACCTTAAAACTGGATCTTCCAACTTAGAGATTGTTATATACTCCTCGTAATTAATAATAGCACAAAAGCCGTAATTCCAAGCTCAGTCACCCTGCCTCACAATTTGGAACTCTCTCTCCTGTAAATAGAAACACTATAGATATTCCTCAACTTAGCACTTCCTCCGCATTAAATTAGAATCATTTAATCTCAAAATTGTCAAATCAAAACAGTACAATTAGAACTTCTTAAGTATTTCAAGATCTAAAGCAAAATAGTATAAGTAATTTCTTGTTCAGCAGAACTAATACTTCAGAGTCTAGATCTCTCAGGACTTAGGGTTTCAAGGAATACTTGACGTAGTGATGAATACAGGATAGCCTTGAAGAACCAAGGTCCTCATAATAACGCATTAAAGTCTCAAAATTCACTCTTGAGCAACTTCTCCCGTAAAAATAATAAATTAATATATAGAATTAAGAGTCAAAGGCTTTTTTAAAATTTAAGACCATTGACTAGCAGAAACTTATCAAAGTAGAGGAATATATGAAACTTAGAGATTCAAAGGAGTTTAAGTCATTAACAAATTAAAAAGAGTTTCAAATAGCTACAATGACTCATTCTATAGGTAATAAAAGCGAATTTATTAATGCACCCTCTTTTGTAAACATCCAAAAGGCAATCATTGCTTTTAGAGAAATAATCGCATTTAAGAATGTTTAATTTAAGGATCAAATGGAACAGATCATCGTTGAAATGGAGAGAGGATTATTTTGCGATCCTTCTGTTCTGCCTGAATAAGTTGCAGAACTAATAAATATGAATAAATTTCTTGATCATCAGACTAATTAACTTCAATTGCCATATTTTGAAGTAGTAAAAAGATATCATGAGATGTTTCAAATTGTTTAAAGGTCTTAAAAGCTATTGATAAAAGATAGAAACATTAAGTTTAAAGGTATCTATAATATCTAAATAATTTATATTATAGAGGCTTAACTGCTTATTAATTCTTTAGAGGAGAAAAATAATGCCCTTGAGTCCTAAATATAATCATGCTAAAAAAAATTCAAAGATTTCTCTACGGGAATTGATTATCAATATGAAAGACTTAACAATTAAGTAAGTATTGCCAATTGATATTAATTACGATGATTATAGTTTTGCGATATAAACAAAAAGTTCAATCTGTCTCAAGTTAAAATTAATGAACTTGAAGAATAAAATGGAGTGCTCAAAGAATATAAAGAAATGTCTAAAATGATAGCTGTCCATGAAAAAACTATAGCAACTAAAGATGAAGAATTGACTGCCCTTAAATCATAATTAAAAGAAGCTGAACTAATAATCAATTAACAAAAATAGTAATTCGAGAGCAGATTTTCAGAATATCAAAGATCTTTGCAATTATTAAGATAGCAGAAAGAGAAAGTAGAAATATTGAATCAGAGGATTTATTAACTTGAATACGATTTAAGTAAGGTCAATGTCAGGGCTGCTGTTGCATTTAATGAACTTACACCCAGATATCAGAAATTTGAACTAGAATTTAAAAGTCTAAAGATAAAAAAGCCACTTGATAAACTCTCATGGGATAGGATAGCAACTAAAGACTATATTGAGTCACTGTTTTAAACTATTAGAGATCTCCACGAGAAGAATAAAGAGCTAGCTCTATAAAAATAGAGAAGAAAAAAGAAAACTGAGAATCTAGAGGATACTTATTCAATCAGGAATATTAGCCCCAAATCAGAATCTAGATTTGGCCCTAATAAAAGTGGGGCAAGCATGTTTCAAGGAGGTGGTAGATTCACAATGTACAAAACTGAAAGAAGTGCTTCATCCTCTGTTGATAAATAAGAAATGCTAGATATAAATCAAAGCTCCCAGGATCAGGATCAGAAAATTAGCTAATGAAGTGATATAAATGTTTAATCTTAATTTCTTAAAATCCCTAAGAATATTGTAAAGCGGGGTTTTGGGGTTTTGGGGTTTTGGGGGCAAAATCGATAACCTAGGTGTACTCAAGTACTTCTTGGCCCCCAAGATCAGCGAT